TCCCCAAATGCTGTAACCCCGGCAAGTCTTGGGCTGTTTGGGTGTAAGCCTCTAATGAAGCTACTTCCTGTCTGTCCCCAAGGAGTCCGAATGCTGGACGGGGATGTGACAGACATGGTGGAGGCGAAGTCAGTCAGCTTCAACCCCCAGCACGTGCACATCTACAGCGCCAGCTGGGGCCCCGACGATGACGGCAAGACTGTGGACGGCCCAGCTCCACTCACCCGGCAGGCCTTTGAAAACGGCGTCAGAATGGTAGGTTTCCTGCTGCGTCAGTGGGGGGTGATTCTCACGTGAAGCCATCTGTGAAACGGGGGGGTTCTGATCCCCCAGTTCAGAGGGTTAAGTGCAGCTCATAGATGGAGCCAGGACACAGATTAATGGAAAGAGATGCAGAAGCTTTGGGATTGGATGTTGTATCTGTTCTGCAAATGAGTTAAATGATAGTTTCCCTTGACAAGAACAGAGGTGTTGCCTGGCCAGTGTTGCTTAGTGGTTGAGCGTGGAGGTCCTGGTTCGATTCCTGGTCAGGGCACTTGCCCGGGTTGCGGGCTCGGTCCTCTGTGTGGAGCGTGCAGGAAGCAGCCAATCAATCATTCTCTCTCATCATTGATGTTTCTCTCTCTCTCTCCCTTTCCCTTCCTCTCTGAAATCAATAAAAAGTATATATATATTAAAAAAGGACAGGTATATTTGGACACTTAAATTTATTCAAAGGAAATACATTCATTTATATGTTAATGTTACATTTGGAGAAATAAATTCCTGGGACTGAGATTCAGAAGTGGAGATATTGAAACTCTCCATTTGGTGTGCATAGATCATCCAGCAATGCCTAAGTATCTCTCTTTTGCGGTCCCTCCCCTAGTCCCACCTCTGTCCCAGGACAATATTATTTTTATGCTTGCCCCCAAGTTCCCTCCCTAACTGGGCAGCTTAACCCTTGAGGTCACTTGATTTCCTCGATTCCCCCCAAAACTGACCACATAATCTAATGTAATAAAACATCTGCTTCAAATTATAGATCTTAAAAAATCCTGCTGCCTTCTAGTTACATGAAAAATAAGGGTGCTGCGTGCATGTAATCATGGAAGGAGGTGGGGTCCCCAGAGCATCTCCTTTCTTGTTCTTTCTCATGAATGAAACTTTGGGTGATTTAAAGCATCCATTTTAATCATGATCTGGGCCTAACCTTTCCTTTCGTCATCATCTATCTCTCTCTTTTTTAATGTTCTTATTGATATTTTATAGAGAAACATCAACAAGAGAATTACATCATCAATCAGCTGCTTCCTGAAACCCCACCCCCCACCCCCAGGGGATCCAGCCTGAGGATATGATTGTAGAGCAGGGGTGGGGAACGTCATATGAGTCCCGGAAAATCATTTGGTCTGGCCCTGCCAAAGCATTAGGGGTCAGTTAATTAAATGTTTGACCAAATGTAGCAGGCTAATTTTTAAGTTGATAATTTTGTATGGCCTGCAAATGATGATATAAATACCAAATGGCTCTTTGCAGAAAAAGGTTCCCCACCTCTCTTTTCGGGGGTGGGGGGGGGGAGGAAAGGAGAGAGAAACATCAATGTGAGAAACATCAATTGGTTGCCTCCCATATGCGCCCCAACTAAGGATTGAACCCACCACCCAGGTGTATGCCCTGACCGGGAATCAAACCTGAAACCTTTTGGTGTATGGGGCGATGCTCCAACCAACTGAGCCACCTGGCCAGGTCCTATGTGATAGTTTAAAATTGCTCTGGCCTATGAGGTTTTAGCTAAATCGTCTACAAAAATATAACAATTGGAATTTATTTTTTCCATTAAATGTGTTGAACTCTCACTTTCCAGACAGTATAGATAAAGGAGTAAAGAAGGCATCTAAGTTTTATATGCAGGATATAAAAGTCCCAACATTCTAGCAACATGACACACACAGAAACAAGATTATTTGAGCTAAGGATAAGGGTCATCCTATATAATAAAAGGCTAATATGTAAATCAACCAAATGGCAGAATATCCGGTTGCTATGATGTGCACTGACCACCAGGGGGCAGATGCTCAATGCAGGAGCTTCCCCCTGGTAGTCAGTGCGCTCCCACAGGGGGAGCACCGCTCAGCCAGAAGCTGAGCTCACGGCTGGCAAGTGCAGCTGTGGCGGTGGTGGAAGTGCTAAGGATGTCCAACTGACGGATGTCCCTGGGAGCGGGCCTAAGCTGTCAGTCGGACATCCCCTGAGGGCTCCCAGACAGTGAGAGAGCACAGGCCAGGCTGAGGGACCTCCCCGTCCCAAGTGCATGAATTTCGTGTACCAGCCCTCTAGTGCAGCAGTTCTCAACCTGTGGGTCGTGACTCCTTTGGGGGTCGAACGACCCTTTCACAGGGGTCACCTAAGACCATCAGAAAACACATATATAATTACATATTGTTTTTGTGATTAATCACTATGCTTTAATTATGTTCAATTTGTAACAATGAAAATACATCCTGCATATCAGATATTTACATTACGATTCATAGCAGTAGCAAAATTACAGTTATGAAGTAGCAACGAAAATAATTTTATGGTTGGGGGTCACCACAACATGAGGAACTGTATTAAAGGGTTGCGGCATTAGGAAGGTTGAGAACCGCTGCTCTAGTGGATGAAATAAAACCGGTGACTGAGAGAGGACAGAGCTGCTGCTTTGGTTAGGAAGGTGGAGAGTCTTCTTTGAGGAAGTGATGCATGAATGGAGACATAAATGATAAAGGCCAATCATGTGAAGAAATGTGGAAGGAATGTTCTGTGCAGAAGGAATGGCAAAAGCAAAGCCCTGGGAGTGGAAAATGGTGTGGGAGACTCACAGAACTGAATGTGACTTTGGACTTTGGGAGCATCATGGACAAAAAGCCGGCAGCGGGAGATGGGTTGGAGAGAGGCAGGGGCCAGCTCAGCAGGGTCCCTACACCATGTAGGATGTTTGCATTTTATTCTGTCATAGAAAACCATTGGGGGTTTTCAGCAGAGTCCTGGCCTGGTGGGATGCACAATTTTAAAAGATCCCTGCTTTGTAGAGAATGAATACGTGGGGTGAGGGATGGGGAGGCAAGAGTGGAAGGTGGAAATGGGCTAGCAAAGTTGATAATGAGTTGGACTAGGGTGGCAGCAATGTCAAGAGAACCCAGAGAGATCGGTGGCAAGAGAGAGACGCATAAGTATCGAGAGATTTTCACAAGGGAAATAAATACATTTTGCTCGGGGAGTCCAAGTATTGATTGCATCCATTCCTTCTTCTTGCTAATCAAAAAATGTGGCAAATATTGGATTTCAGAATGCTTTCTGTTTGTTTTACTATAAGATAAGCATTTGGCTCAGTAGAACGTAACACTGTTTTTAAAGACTTTAACAAAATCAGAATTGATTCAATTTATAGCCCCTTTAGAATTAATGTACCAAAATTGCATTAAAGAAACTATGTTGAATAAACCGTGTCACAATTGACAACTTGCTACACTTCCAAAGGTTGCATTTTATGTGGTGCTGAGAAGCTATAAAATTAAGTGCAAGAATTAGAGGCATATAATTTGGGCTGCATACACTTGATGATGATGATGATGATGATGATACAGCAAAAAACATTTAACATTTGCCATTCTATTATACTCTAGTCACTCGGTAAAGCCCTAAAATAGGTAACTTTTAATCTTCACAATAATCTTATAAGATAGATACTGTTCTCCACAATTTTACAGAAACTAGATATTCAGCAAACCTAAAGAAGTCAGAACATGGGCCTCTAAGAAATCCAAAAAGTTTTTTTACATGTTGTCATTTCTATTGTATTTGTCACATCTGACCTCCTTCCTTCAGCTGTGACCACATATTCTAGCTTTCCTCCTGTTACTATGGTGAATTAATTGCTCATGCTCTACCTTTGTCCACCTCCTCCATTTCTTCACTGATGCCACCCTTTCTCACTTCATCAGAGATACTGCCCAATTAATTCTCTTTTCCTTCATCATCAGAATCTCCCTCTCAACTGCATTATTGCCATCCACACACATTCATACTGTTAAACTCCTACCTCAAAAGAGAGGAGAATTCCTCTTCTGTCTCTTTATATCCTCCCAATTATGGTCTCATTTCTCCTTTTCCCATTAGAACAAAATTCCTTGAAAACTTGGTTCTTACTTGCCCTCTACAAGCTCTCTTTTTCCATTATCTCTTGATGCCACTACATCAGGGCTCTGACCTGTCACTCCCCTGAAGCTGTTCTTGTCAGGGTCACAGTGACCTCCTTATGTAAAAACCCAGCGCTCTTGTCTGAACTCTCATATAATTTGTACTGACAAGGAGGCCTGCCTGCTTCTTCCCACCTACAATAGAACACACATGTACTCCCAACCCTTCAGAACCCCCTCTTGCCAATTATGATCCTGCCTTTTATCTGTTATTATTTACTTGTTGATTAATTATCTCTTCCAGAAAAGCCCATAGTTTGACTCTTTTGTGCTCTGTGTATTCCAAGTACCTAAAACAGTGTCTGTTTAGGAGTTAGTGAACGAATGTATAAATGAATGTGTGGACGATTTCCATGCCAGTGTGCTGCATATACTGAATGAATTTACTTAAGGATCACACTTGCACTGTTTTTGATTAATAATTTGGAAATAAATATTAGCATATGTGGTGTAGTCTGGTGATGAATGTACCAGACTCTGGAGTCAGACTCTATTGGGTTCTAATACTTTCTTACCTTGCTCAAGTGAAGTAGCCTCTCTGAGGATCAGTTTCTTCCTCTATAAAATGGAGCTAAGTGCTAGTAATTACTTTTTAGGACTGTTGTGAGGATTATGTGATTCATGCCTGTAAAATATGAGGCAGAGTTCCTGAAACATAGTAAAGTCTCTAATTCTGTTACAAATTTTAATCATTATCACTACTGTAAAGGCAAGGGTAGTAAAAGTGAAATACTGATTAATCATGCATAATACTGTAAAAAGTCTTGATTGTTCGAAATCTCTGGGTTTAATCAAGTCCATACTGCTGAGTGATCCTTTGGGAAGGCAAGTATATGAACTTGTGGTTATTATTAAGAAATGGACAAAATAAATGGGACAAACTATTCAAAAGGGTATTTTTAAAAATTTAACCCATAAGACACTAATTAATAAAATGCTAAAAACGAAGGGGGAGGAATTTTGCTGTCCAATTACTTGAGAAACACCACTCATTATATGCTCCCTTAGGAAATTTTAAAATATATTAAAGGCTCT